CCATATCAATTGGGTTATGAGATATAATAAATTAAATTGTTGTGAATTTATCAAAAAATAAATAAATAAATTTTTTTTTCATTTCAAATGAAAGGTCCGCGCAATCAGATGAACGCCGCGACACCGACTCTCGACTTATCCCATGTTTACGGCGGAAATCTCATGAATAATTCCTACTTATTGAGGACTTTTACCGGAGGTAATGATGTCTCGGATGTTAGACTATAAATTCAAATCATAACACATGAAAACCAAACATAGACTAATTAAAACAACACTTTTTACCGTAAAGTTATTTAAAAGTAATTTATATTGAAATATTTATAACAGATATAAACAGTAGATATGATATATAAGATTTTTTCATGCGATAAAATATTTTTATAATAAATTCAGTCAAATATTTAGTGAAATAGGAATTCATTTAAAACTAATCATTTTATTCATTAAACACAACTCAATAACAGTTATGATTAAGGATAGGGGATATAAATTAGATTACACTAAATATGTATTATTCATGTACAGTAATATTATTTGATCCCTAGTTATTATTGTACCATATACTTCAAAACATTACAATACATTGTATGACAATTTGCTTTATGGTAAAACAGGGCGATTGCGTGGTTCGGCAGCGGCCGACGGCAGTACAATACTACCGGTGGCAGAACTGCCCAGAGATCAGGACTCTCTAGATCTGACACAATGCAGACCTCCACAGGAGAGGCCATGGCTTACATGCTTTCACAGCGGAGATGGTATCCGTAGTAATCAGAATCCATTGGTCCAGTCGTTACACGTATTGTTTCACAATCGGCACAACCAACACGCCTCGGCTCTCGCCAAAGTGAACCCCCACTGGACCGATGAAATACTGTTTCAAGAGGCCAGGTATATGTCATACCCACCCCACCCCTCCCTTATACACCCCAAACACACTCTTTTGCTTTTGCTTTTAAACAATTTCATTGATTTCTGATGCAAAATATATAACGAAATTTACATTCAATATTTAGCATAAATTATTCCACATTATTATGTGATAAATTAAATGCATTGAGAACTTAATCGTATGCTTTAGATAGTGTTTTGAAACTAAAAACACTAATTAAAATATTTTAAAATAATTAAAAAATACTTTTGTTTTATGTTGTGTCAAAAAGATAACATTCTTGGCTATCAAAACGAAATCAATTTACAGTCGATTTTCTTTATTAGATATGCAATTATTTGCTTATTTTTATTATCAATTATAGTTAGCAAAACATAATAAATGTACAAAATGTACCTTAATTTTAAGTGAAAATTATGCAAAATATGTCTATTAAAGGATTTTCAAAGACTGCTCCCAATATCACGTTATATACTATACCTTATAATTAGTTTTGAGACATCGAAATGTAAGACAAATGCGTTTTGCATAAATCATAGTTAGAAATATATAGAGCTTTACGTATTATATCTGCATATATTAATATTTTTACAAACATGCTAATAATAACACTTTTTCAAAGCAATTAATCAGCACCAAGGTTACTTCATTGAATATTTTTATATTTCATTCGTGTAAATTAAAATTATATTATAATTACTGATTTGGAATAAAATATTTAAATTTAATTATAAGCCATAAAATTTGCCGATAATTATCACTATCCTCTTTATGACCACATTTGTAGGCTTTTTTAAAGCAATTATTTGTTTTAATACTGTATAAGAAATCTATAGATTTACTAATTTCTTCATTCATTTTGATTATAATCTATGAAATAAAGGGTTTAATTGATATTAACAATAGACACGGAAAACACAATCCCATATAAATAGCAATTAATTGTTAAAAATATTTATTTTATAAGTAAAAGAACCCTAGAGTCATAGCAGAGGAATGTGTATAACCTTAATATTACATTTATATTTATTGGAAATTTTATTTATTTTGTTATGTGCAAACAAATTGATATACTTATTGAAAAGCACTTAAAACTATTAATAGTGTACTTTTATAGTAATTAATATTTTAAATCTAACTTTGAATTATATTTTTGTTATTTTAGGCGTATATTAATAGCAGAATACACTAAAATAGTTTACGCCGAGTATTTGCCGTCACTATTGGGCAAAAAAGTGATGGATTACTACGACCTGGACGTGAGAGAGCACGGGTTCACCAAATATAACCCCAAACTGGACCCGTCGTCCATACAGGCTGTGGGAGTGGCGGCACTACGTATGGGTCACTCGCAGATCGCATCCCTCTTCCGAATCATTCAGAAAACACACGATTCGTATGCTTTCAATCTGAGGGACAAATTCTTTGACGTCTCCGACCTCTACGACGGACTCGTAATATAATTTACATATAATTAGTGTTTATAAATGACTGTAAAATACAATGGCATTTGTTTTTGGCCAAACAGACGAGCGGTATAGTGAAAGGATTACTGGAGGACTCGGACAGAAATGTGGATCCGTTTATTGTGACCGACGTTAAGGACTTTTTATTCTTCAATCCCCGACAACCGGGTGTTGTGGATCTGCCGGCGATTAATATAAACCGCGGTCGCGATCACGGAGTGCCCGGTTATGTCTATTACTTGCAATACTGTACGGGCGCTGCCATTCATAGCTGGTCTGAGTTAAGCAAATTTATCCCGGCTGAAAATGTCAGAAAATTGCAATCACTTTACAAGTAATGAATCAATTTAATGAATATTAATTATAATTGTCGTAAATCATAATTAATGATGATTTGTCTACAGGAGTTACAAAGACATAGATCTGTTTGTCGGCGGTCTATCGGAGTTTCATTTGGACGGATCTATATTGGGTCCGACGTTCACGTGTTTGAATGCCATTCAGTTTTATCACTCGAAATATGGCGATAGGTTTTACTTTGAACATGGACACGAGTCCAGTGCCTTCTCTAGTGGTCTGTATTTTATTTGAAAATCAAAATCAATTACATTTGAAACTGCGGTTCACTACAAATGCAATCATACATTTTGCAGAGCAATTAGAGTGCATACGACAGACCACTTCTTTGGCCAACTTATTGTGCAAAACAGCAAATTTGGGTTCAATTCAAGTGAACCCGATGTTTATCCCTTCGCATTCATCTAATCCGAAGATCTCGTGCCACAAATTGCCGGACATTGATTACGAACTCTGGAGAGATGTCGGATCCTATTTTAAAAAATAACTTAAATTAATCACTCAAATAAATCTCTTAAATTCTCATTAATAAGTTAACATTTAAAGTGTTTATCAATTTATTAAGTTTAATATATATTATAGTATATTAATATTTTTATCATTAAAATTAAAATAAATAAATATTATTCTATTTTTTATAATTGAATGCTTTGAAGTGTACATAAACTAAATGTCAATATTTGTAATTAAAGTGCATTATTATGTTAATTATGTCATTATGTAAAATATCATATACTAAAAATAATGCAACTTATTTAAGTTAAATAATGCAACTAAAAATATTTTAAGGTAGAAAATATTTTTACATTATAATTGATCTTTAATTATTAGAAATTTTACAATTGTTTTACATTATAAAATAGAGTACACATTAAATATTATGTTTATTTTAAAATATAATGTTCCCAATAAGTGTAAATATTTTATTGATGTATTAATTTTTAAAAAGGAGACAAATTAGATAATTATCATTTTATTTCGTAATTTGAAACTTTAATATTGTGTTAAATTTCAACAAATGGTATAATTAATGATTGAAAATGAGTTGCTGTAAGTTTGGGCGCGGGATGGTTACCATGATATTACTTTATTATTTATTATACTTTATAATTGTTGGCAAATTAAAAGATTATATCAGACATGTATTACAAATTATTAATCAATACTAGTTTTATGCTGTTATCTGATAAAAATTATTCACAAACTAAATGAAAAGGCAATAATTATTAATTATTTTATCGCCTTT